AACAAAATAGGTTCAGCATGCCAAGCTAAGCACACACCAAAAAGTATAACTAGCAAGCCTAAAAAGTAAAAACACACCTACGTGACCTTCCTTCGAAGAGCGAGAGACGAAGGGTGAAACCAGGAGAGGCGAGACGGATGGAGCATGCGCGCGAACAGCAATGCGTAAAGCGCTACACGACTTCGGGAGCTTCCTGTTCGTAGCCACAGTACGATACCAGTGGCACCATAATTTTAGAAATCGGTCATGGAAGTACTTCAGTATGTGTATATCAAAAACATTACTGGCGAGGTGGAACAAAATTTCAGTGCAGTTAAATATGGACATGTACCAGTCGAGAGTGTGGGTAGAGGATGCAATACTGAATAGACGGTAACAGCTACAAAGAGGACTTGGGTGTCTTGGTGGTGCTGCAACAAAATTGGCGACAGGTTAGACACTGCAATAGTCCAGCATAAACTATAATTAAGAGACCAAAAGACAGAGCAAATTATAATAGACAGAGTCACAATGTAGGAAACAGGACAAAACTAATAGGCGTCAAAACACTGTGCAAGAAGCTTGCCAAGAGGCTACAATGGAGCATAACGGCTAGACGGGACACATCATTGCAATAGTTCGGATTCGGTGATTACTTGGTCGTTTTCGCTCTGGGTGATCGTTTCAGAGTCTGCAGACCACCTGGAGGTGGAGTCGGTCCAGCGGGAGGTGGAGCTGGTCCAGCTGGAGGTGGAGCTGGTCCAGCGGCTTTGGCAAGCTTGCTCTTCGAGTGCTTGCTGATGTGGAATCGACAAGCCTCCTCCTTCTTGAAGAGCAGATCACACACCGGGCAGCGAAACAACATTTGGTCGGAGTTGGGAGTGGCGGGCGACACTGGGCCGCCAGGCGGAGTAGTCACGGTGGCCTTTGTGGTGCCGATAGTGCGTCGTCTCGTGAGCCGGCTGCTGAACGCCGAAGCGTATGGCGACGGGTATGGTGAGAGCTCGTGGGGCATTGGAGTCGGCGACTTGAGCGACTGGCGCAGCATATATCCACTGGGGCACGAGCGTAATCGCTCTTCCTCAGAGTCAAACACTGGCGGAAGGACAACATAATTCTCTCTGATGGAGGTTTGTTCGGTTCGCTGTTCTGGTGACCCGGGGGACGCTGGATGGACGCTGGCATTATCGCCCACTCCTTGCTGTTGGCTTGTTGTGTCATCCGGGTTCTCCGCAGTTGTCGCCGGCTCACTTTGTTCTGTGGAGGTGTCCGCAGCTGGAGATGCGGTGCTTTGTTGCCCCTGTAGGTCGGTGCCCTCTGTTTCAGGCTCGCCAATGGCTTCAGCCTCTTCCTGTGTTGTCTCTTGTTCTACCAGTCCCATGCTTGTCATGTCGCTATAGTTGTTAGTTGCAGCTGTTGTGTGGCCCGCTAGGGGACAGCCGTCAGCAGCCATTGATACAGACTGGACATTAGTCGGCGACAATGGATGATCTCCGTCGTGTGAGGAATGACCGGTGCTCGTGGCCAGCACTGGTGCCGGGCTCGGGGCACGGTTGTATGACGTCATGGGTTTTGGCTGTGCTCGATGGCCGGAGTAGGGCTGCCCGGAAATAGGTACGTGTGCATGGCCGCACGGTGTAGATAAGCTTCCTGGAACTTCACCGGAACAACTGACATCATTGGTGGGAATGTGCCTCGGCACGGCAGAGTGATGCTTGTCAGTAAGCCAATGGGCCGTCCCTGGAGTAACCTGCTGCGAAGGAGGGGTTGTCAACGGCGCAGGCATGCCGCCGGCGGAATGCTGCGACGACGGGTCGTGCGAGCTGGCAGCTACTGCTGGCGAGTGGGGCGCTACGTTCGGGAAGACGAACGGATAATGGCTTGTGGATGCGGACGGCGTTGTCTGGGGACCAGGAGTAGTTGCTCCGTTGACCGGACATAGTCGGCTATCGACAGGGACTAGGGCCATAGGAACCCAGACGATCGGAGGCATACCGGTTCCTGAGTTCGCCCCCGGCAGCACTGACATAGAGTAGGGCTGTCCAGACGACTGCGACACTTGCATGGGATGCTGGCCCCCAGGAAGCTGCATGTACATAGAACCGCTCGGCGGTGCCGTAGCACACATAGTCTCTCCGATATTCATCTCGGCAACAGTGGGTGAGAAATAGAGCGTCTTGGAAGGTGGTTTGGGGATATGACTCGTGCGATCAAAATCAATGCGTACGGGATCCGGTGAACTCCGTACATGAACGCCGTACATATACCGAGACAATGCGTACGGTTGTACCTCATATGTGTACGGTACCGTAGTCACACAGCTTTTCCAGTGGCCAGCCTGCATACCGTACGATGCGCTCCCGTACGCGAGTCGTGAAGCAGGATCCAATTCAGAGACTGTCGAAATGGTTTCGTGGGCCTCGTTACCGTCACATTTCTATGGTTTTGCGTTTCAAATCGGATCGCGAAGGACTCCACACTGTTTGTCGTGTGAGGAGTGGGGTCGTGCGATGTGTTACTATTCCTTGCCTGTGCCTGGTGTTGCCACAACAACACTGCTCACATGAGGAACTTTCGCGGATCCTTCACGCCCGACAAGGGGTCACTTCCGCCTCTTCTTCTTTTTCTTCCTTCTTTCTTACCTCCTCTTTATCATTCCTCCTCGCATTCGGTGTGACGTAATTGGTCTTGTAATCCGTTTGTATTTGCCAAATCAAAAAATAATCCATACATATTCACTGGTTTGCGGGAAAGACGCAAACGGGACAAGTCTGAAGAAAAAATTGACTGTCACCACCGGTCCCAGGACTCGAACCAGGGAAGTACATACTTGTACATGTTCATACCTTCTCGGACTTCACCAGGGGGGGGGGGGGGGGGGGGGGGGGCTCAGCGCGAGTGGCCTAACCGATCGGATATTGACCGGGCTATATGAGGTGCCAGACTCACACGATGACGTGTTTAGTCTTTGACTACTTTATGCTGGGTCTAATGGTACGTCTCCAGTCAGCCATTGCAAGCGGAAAATGCTCGAAAATTGGCAAGATTCTGCTCGAAAAGCAGTGAAATTAGCAGAATCATGCAAACTTTATGGCTGGAACTTCCTTGTACTCTGCTTTATGTCTTTATCCACATAACAAAACATGCCAGAAACTTACCAGAAAATGTACCAAATTCTGCCAATTTTTCTGCCGCATTATCACCAGATGTTTGATTTGGAATTATCACCAGATGTTGGCCTCGCTGGCTCTCACCAGCTCTCACCGTCTGTCAATGTGCGACAAGGTGGCGGGGCTGATGCTGTTTCAGGACCAATTGCGGATCGGAGACAATAGAAGACAACGTCGTCACTGACCGCTAGCGCTGCATCCTGTTATTTGGCTGCTTCCGAGGTAGGCATTATGCGGATAATGCCGGCAGAAAAATTGGCAGAATTCGGTACTTTTTCTGGTAAGTTTCATGCATGTTTGGTATGTGGATAAAGAAATAGAGCAGAATTCGAAGAATTGCCCGCCATAAAGTTTGTATGGTTCTGCCAATTTCACTGCTTTTCGAGCAGAATCTGCCACCTTTTCGAGCATTATCCGCCAATGCCTATTCCGAGGTCGATGTCTGGCCTGCAGAAAATCAATGTTCATTGTATGTGTATGTACACTGGCATGTGACAATTGTACATTTGCATGCACAATAATACACAACAGAACAACAAGGACAATCAATACTTGTTTGCTACTTTAAGTTTCATGCTCACGCAATCATCAGGCAACACCATGTACCATGGACAATAATAAAAACATTTTGCGGTCGGGAGAAAAAGATGGTCGGTCCGGTGACCATGGTGACCCGAAACAGCGCTACGTGCATTACGTTATCTTATCGCACTACATTTGCATAACATTAATATTTATTCCCGTAGCTATGCAGAAGACGTTACTTCAGTAACGTCTGGCGCTAGCCAGGGTCCACAGTCTTCACACAGCTTTTTTGGTGTTTATTCCCGTAGCTATGCAGAAGACGTTACTTCAGTAACGTCTGGCGCTAGCCAGGGTCCACACAGCTTTAATTTGGTGTTTGTTTGTTTGTGTCACGCCTGGAGCTATCCCGTATCTGTCCCGTATCTGTCCCGTATCTGTGACTACAAGGCTCTACAGGATTGTACGAGCAGCTGGCCACAATATTTGCTGGCTCCCGTATCGGTCCCGTACCGTACCTTACAAACAGCTGGCCACAATATTCGTGGTATTATGTATGCGACTCCCTGATGTAGAGGGAGATTCGGAAAGAAATAGGGAGACGAGGAGGAAATGAATTTAGAATGGACGTTAGTTGCCGAATAGATGATAGGATGCTTCAGCAAAACATACTTTGGAAGAGAGATCCCGTCGTCTCCAAAATAAGCGTGGACGAGCGATTCAGCGCCGGTCACAGAAAACGTCGGAAGAGAGATCCCGTCGACTCCAGAACGCCCGTGATCGGCAGAGTCCGCGCCGGTCCCAGGAAACGTCAGGACAGACATCCCGTCGAGTCCAGAACGCCCGTGATCGGCAGAGTCAGCGCCGGTCCCAGGAAACGTCAGGACAGACATCCCGTAGACGCGCAGAAAAACTAAATCTGCAGCCTCTTTTGCCGTCGGACAGGATACGTATTTTAGGAGACTGGAAAAGTGGAAAGTTATGTAATGTGCTCCACAGGCGACCATGCATGCGGCCGTCCTCATTGGCTCAACAGGTCAATGTATTACTACTAAAAGGCCAGAAAATCCGATTACTGTATTAAAATCAACTAATTTTCGCTGGCGATTTAATTTCGCTGATTTCGCCACTTGGTACCAACCGGCCAAAGTAAATCGCAGGCCAAAGTTAGAGGCAAATGATTCATTTATTATTATTATTATTAATTCAACATCTCCTGGCTCGTCAGAAGACTGCCAATATATAAATGAAGTCCGGTGGTAGCCAACCACGGCATGATAGAGCAGTGGATGCATGTGAGAGCAAAAAATACCGATCGATTTCTTTTTGAAAACTCCAATCGGCCAAAGTATAATGACGATGAAAAGTTGCGTTTCGAGATCGGCCAAAGTTTCTCACCGGCCAAAATTTGTTGATTTACAGTACAAGGAGATAAAAAGAAAAGAAGGACAGACCAAAAGTGGATGAAATTAGAGAAATAACAATCCGCAATAAATTCTGCAAATACTTTCGCCTAGCTCATAATATTCAAACTGATTGAAACGTTTCTACAAAACAATGATGTTGCCAATCAACGGAATAAAAATATTTCCAGTTCAAATAGTATTACTAGTCATAACATGTAGAGTCTACGATGAGCTAGGCAAAAAAGCATAAAAGCATAGCGTAGGGCCCTGAGCTTCCAAGCTAGCTCTCTCGTTGAAGGTACCGGCGCGCGCGCGGTACACTAGCAACTCAAGCGCATGCGCCAACAGCCCGCATAAAATAGCAAAAATTTAAATAAATAACGCAAAAACTCACTCAGACGAGTCAGTACAGTGCAGTCCGTACACCGTGTGCTTTATCATGTTTATCATGGTTTCTGCGGGTCACTAATTATCATCTTATGCAATCTCAGACCATACAGCAGTAGATCTACGCCAGTACGGTATTATGGTAGTAGTCGGCAAAGAAGAAGGTAGGTAGGCTTCAAAGTTTCGAAAAATTTCCGCTAGCTTTCGCGTGGAAGGACTGTCGACTACTGCGCCGCTTCATTTTCAAGGTTTCGATACTCAGGAGACCGTTGCTTCCCTCGCCTTGAACAGAGGGAGCAAATAATAGGACACTGCCTAGAACGTTTACGCCGACTCCTTCATCGCTTTCAACGGCAGCCGCCAGGAAACACGTTCGATGTGTTCAGCAATGCGGGGCACAGAATGCCACGTCCGTTGCCTTCAAGCGGAGCGCGGCTGCAGGGCTTCCAAACTGCCCGCACAGCTTGTACATGACCAGTTGTATCGTGCTGAGCTGAGGTCAGTGAGGGCCGTTGCTCACATCTCTAGAGAGAGTATCGCAAAAGCAATGGTTTCTGCGAGCTTACAGTAACGAACTGGATTTCCACGTGATGTTGGGTGGTGGGTGGTCAGTGGTAGCCAACTAACAAAGACAGTTGGCCACAGGATTCAGCCTCACCGAGCCGTCCATAACCCAGGACTAGGCAACGGGTCGCTGGGCTGTGGAAATAGCGTCCATCAGCCCCGGTATCTAAGCGCCACCATGCTGAGCTTCACCATGAAGGAAAGAACAACAATTGAAAACAGCAAAAACGGACCGTGACCTCTGAAGTCTTCTGGCTAGGTAAGGCACCAATGAATGTCGCATTTTGTTTTTAGAAACGAGTGATATGATAATGTACATAACTCCAACGACTGCAACTGTCTGTGAAATCGCTATCCAGGCAGAGCTTCACATCACGTGTTATGGATAAAATTAATACTAGGGCTGAGTTGGGTAGCATTTTCTTCGGGTATCCGATTCGGGTGGTTCTCCGCGGTTTGCAGGGGTACCTGATCGGGTAATATTTCCATGGTAACACCACAATGCATCCCTCCCCTTACACACCGGGTAGACATGCGGAGTACAGTCAACTTCGCTTACAACGACACTCGGCGGGGCATAGGAAAAGTTTCGTTATTCACAAAGTGTCGTTATACCCGAAGTCTCATTATTATGTATTACAGTTGGATGGGACTTTGCTCTGGGCATAGACATTTTGTCGTTATTCGCGAACTGTCGTTATATCCGCAGTCGTTATTAGCGAAGTTGACTGTATTACACGAATTTGTACACGTGCTCTGTGGATGATGTCATCTGCGACTTCGGGTTTTCGGGCACTATTCTGTACCCGTCTACCTGAGGTCCTCACGGGCAGTTCGGGTACCCGACTACCCATGCACACCACTAATGAATACGTTGGGCCACCCAGAATTAATTTGTTGTTTCGGGTCACCCGACCGACCGTCATTTTTCACCCGACCGCAACATGTTTTTTTAGAGTGCATGTGAAGGGTAGATCCACATAACAGTGAACACACGCGATACTAGTGATCCTAGCACCTGACCGTGCGCAAGAAAACGGCAATGCTTCCGAAAAGATCTCGGGCATGGGCTTCATTCTCACGTCTCATTTTCGCTT